GCTTGCAGCTTCCCAGAGCGCCGTCCTTCCATCCTCGTTGGCTGCGTCCACAGACGCTCCCTTCTCCAGCAGAAGCCTGCAGACCTCGGTGTGCCCTCTGCTTGCACCAACAATGAGCGCCGTACTATCATCATAATCCACTGTGTCCACGGACGCTCCATTCTGCAGGAGCAGCCTGCAGACATCTGTGTGCCCATTCCTAGCACCATCAATGAGTACGAGCGGTGCGTCTGCTTTTTCCAGAAGCAGCCTGCAGACCTCGGTATGTCCATTGTTTGCACCCACCCAGATTGCCCGGTGAACTCCCTCTACATCTGCATGCTCCTCCAGCAGCTGTCTGCAGGTCTCGGCATCTCCAGAGCGTGCAGCTTTCACGAGTGGCGCGTCATGTCTCATTTTCTTAGCGCGCGCCATCATTCACCGCTTCCAGGCGATTGATAGGTTTGAAACCGCCTGAAATTTAGGCTTTAGAAATTTAGGGTTCTAGGCGCCCTTTAGCACCTCTTGGTGGCCAAACGGGAACCTTGAAAAGCAGGGAGTATTAAGATAGTGTCCCAAACCATCGTCCCTTTAGCACCTTTTGTGACCAAAAGGGAATCCTAAACGCTGCCCTAAAACCAGAAAAGTAAGCCAAAAGGGAAATCGTGGCAAGTTTAGGACGGAGCGAAAAGGTGCATAAAATGGCCAAAAGGGCACCCTGTTGTGCACATAACCCATGATATTTCGGTTATGAGGACGCATGGTGTATAACCCGACGTCGGTCCTAACCCGAAAAAAACGTGGTTAATTTTCTCGTCCATGACATCTGCAAAGACAAGCTGGTTATATCTTGTAAGTAACCATTTCGGGGTCCCGAGAGTGCAACCCAATAACCACCCAGGATGCCATCGGACCACCGGTGCAGCAAACTATAACCATGTCAATAACCTCCAGTGCCTCAGGATGGCCCGTACTTTTCGATCTGCTGGAAGGGGGCGTCCGGCCGGCAGAGTATAGCCGGGCGGCGCCTAGAGAAGTATCTGCAATACCGGGCGTCATAACCCGGCGGTTCGCGGATAGCCGGTGTTAAACTCCGGCATTATTATCGTATTATCGCCTGAGAAGCGCCCGGTTCGGGCGACGTTTTGGGCGAAAACGGTAATAAGTACCTATATGTAATCGACGGCTCAAGAGCATCGACACTTTCGATGAAAATGGTAATAACAGATGTGAGGCGTCCGATCTAGCAGAGCCAAAGCTAAAGTTGTTGGGCTTTGAGCCGTCGGTCACATTGAATTACCCGCCGGTAGACCGTGGATCACTTTTAGACACTCTTTGGTAAAGATGACGTGGACTCTTTCAGTCAAACTACACCTTCAGTCATTACCAAGTCCCACTGCTCTCAGCGGGCACCGCCTTCGCCACCCAAGTCGTTTAGCATGGCTCAAGGCTGGAACGAGAGCTCAATGTTTTTCCAGCTGCTCTTCCGAGCTTATAAGGGCCGAGTTGGGGAAATCAGGTCACATTCATTCACTGTCAACACCGGAGCCATGCATCCCTGCCTGGACTTCCTGAAAAACCAAGAAAGATGCACTCTGTACAGCATCTCCGTGGCAGCGTTGCTGGAGATGCTTGTAAAAGCACCAAACAACAGGATCCGCTTCAACCTCATTCACAATGCTCAAGACAGAGTGCATTACCTGGCGCCAGAATATCAACAACTACTGAGATCACCCCCAGGGGCAACGTTCTACCGAGGGCTGAGCATATTTGATGCGGAGCAAAGTGCTGGGGTGATCCTCAAGCAGCTGATCAGCCTCCTTTCGTCATTCAAGAAGAACAGAACCACCCTTGCAACAATGGGTGTCAAAAGCGTGTCTCCTACAACACGGGCCTACAAACATATGCAGGATCTAATTGCAGGATTCGTGAGCACAGCTATGCCACTGTGGTCAGGCTGCCCCCAGAATTGTTGCAAGCTATCCAGGGAATACGTTCAAGAGAAGGACCGGATACAGGCGGAGCTTGAGAACCTGCAGAGAGGCAATGCGGAGAAGGAAACAGCTGTCGAGCAACTGACACAGCAACTAGAGACAGCACAGGAGGAGCACAAGAAGGTGAGCCTTTTACAAAGCGCCTTTGCCGCACGCTTGGATCACAGGACTAAGTGTTGCTTGCTTCGAATGTGCTGCTCGAAATTGCTGCATGCAAGCTCACCTTGACTTTTCCACTACCATACAGGGTCAGCTCGAACTGCAAGCATCCATCGAGCAACTTGAAGCTGAACTGAAGACAACAAAGAGTGCACGGGATGCCTCCTTGCGTCAGGTCCAAGAGTTGGTGCAGGTGGCAAACAAAAGGAAGGAGGCAGAGCTGACTCGGGAATTGGAGCAGATGCAGGTGAGGGAAGCCAAGCTGCTGCACCCACTTGCACCAGTGCACCAATAGAGCTCAAAGGACTTTGTGCGCAAGGATTTTGTGCACGAGGTACTTGCACAAGCTCACTCTGGCTCCTCTGCTGCGCATGTTCAGCTCGGTCTGAACGCATCCATTCAGCGACTTGAAGCTGAAGTGTCGGAGACAAGGGGTGCGTCTGTGCTGGCGCTGGGAAAGTCGGAAGCCACAATCCAACGGCTTGAGGCTGATGTGCTCAAGGCGCAAAGGGACAAGGAGGAAATGGAGGCAGCGTTAACTCAAGCCCAGGAGGAGCAAGTACAGGTGAATTCTGTCCTTTGGAATACTATACACTAGTTCCTGTCGCCAGTGCATGTGAACTTTCGAGAGGTGTGGACAACGGGACCAATTCTGACTCAACCTGCCATGTTGACTGGTGCAGGTTCAGCTGAGGCTCAAAGAGTTGAGGAGGGCCAAGGCTGCTTCTGTACAGCAAGTAGTGAGCCTAAAGTCAACCATCGATGAACTCGAGGCCGAACTGTTGGCAGCGAGCACTGCCAGGCAAGCCTCTGCACAGGAGGTCGTGGGCCTGAGGTCCTCCATCCAGGAACTCGAGGCTGCCTTGTTGGATGCAAGAAGGGCACGGGAAGAGTCTTCAGCATCGATCCAACGACTCAATGCGCAAGTGGAGGAGGCAAGGAGAGCACGTGACGCTGAGGTTGAAGAGTTGAAGATATGGAGGATTGAATTGACGAACCAGGCTATTCAAGAGGGGTTGCGGAGGGGCAATGCGGAGAGGGAGGCCGTCGTCAACCAACTGACTCAAGAATTGCAGAGAGCACATGAGGAGAGAACGCAGGTGAGCCCACAGTGTGTTTGCACCTATTGCCGACCCGCCGTCAGCACTCTCAAGCGCCTTTCGCTACTGAATGGAAGAGTTGTCGCATTCATGTGACACGTTCTACATTTTGGCTGTTTGCAGGTTCAGCTCGAACTCGATGAGACGAGGCGCTCCTTAAGCAGGGTGGAAGAAGCACGTGATCAGGCTCTGGTCACCATCGACGACCTGAGGCAGACCAACGGCATAGTCCAAAAGCTTGAACAGGTGACTGCGTGCTTGAAGGGAGAAGTCCTGCCCCTTGTGAAGGGTTCAAAGGATGTGCAGGAGCTGCCCGAGGGTTCGACCAGAATTTCCACCCTCGTTAATGAACCTTTCATCGACCTGAGGAAAGGAGACAATTCCCAGGTAAGACAGTTCAAGATCCACTCCACAGTCACATGTGAGCACTTTCACTCTTTCTGCAATCTCAAGCAGCCTGACTCATGTGAATGTGACATGGCCTGCTCCTGTCCATTCCTGAAAATCCTAAAACACAAACATTTTGCAGGTGAGGCGGGTCGGATGCAAGCGCGCTGTCAGAGACGACGATGCGGGTGTTGCAGTCTTTGAGGAAGAGACACTGACAGTCAAGAAGAGGAAGGTCACACAACATGTGTTGAGGGGCCCCGTCACCATCAGGAGGATCCCCATCGAGTGTAACAAGCTCAGGGCCACTCTCGTGGTCAAGAGGGACACAAAGGGGTCACGAGGAGGTGTCCAGTATCACGTGGAGGAGTGCCAGTGTGACACATGTGGTAAGTTTTAGTATCTTAGGGCATTTAGCAGCACTGTATGCCAGATGTGATCGGCTATCTTACACCACAGATGAAAGATTCAAAGTGGCGTACAGTTCAGCTACAGCTGTCGAGAACGTCCAAGTGATTGTTGGTGAATGTTCCAATCACCTCTGATGCAGGCGGACGCGGAGAACCCTTGCCGGTAGGGACTTTCGAGGCTGATCATGCAAAGAGCAGGATGAAGAAGTGGGCCACATCGTTCAAAGCTGTTTGCAAAGACGGAGCGCTCCTGAGCTTGAGAGACGTAATGGACCAACCATTCCGGGTTAAGAATAGGAGGAAGGGCTGAGCAATGCTTTTGCAACAGGGTAGATTGGCCGCGTGTTTGTATTTGGTTGACATGATCTGAAACGGTGGATCAATTCTGAGAATTGTTTTCTGGAGAAAAGTCATCACATGGATTCAACGACTGCTCACAAGAACAAGATGCTCCGTCTGTGCAATGCTGCTGGTGCAGAGTTCTTGGGATCGACATTCTTCTTATTCATCATTGTGACCAGTGTGGTCACTGAACTATGAGCCAAGCCCGACTGACGGGACAGCACTTGCACCCCTTGGTATAGCCACCGTGTTTGGCACGACCATAGGCGCATTGATCTTTGCCTACGGGAATGCATCGGGCGCGCATCTGAATCCTTGCGTGACAATTGCCTTTGTCATTCAACGGTCTGTCAGTGTACTAACGGGTTTGGTATACATTGTAGCTCAGATCGTAGGTTGCACATGCGGCGCTCTACTCGCACGAGCAGTTTCAAACCATGACTTGTATGCAGCGAATCAGGCGGTCAACATTGTGCAGCCGGGGTTTCATCTGTGGCAGGCATTCCTCGCAGAGATCATTGCGACGGCCCTTCTTGTCACCACTGTCCTCCAAGTCACGGGCCTTCTGCCCGTGAACGATGTTGGGCGGCACGTTTTAGGTCTCATGGTGCCTGTCGCTATAGCCGCTGCCATCACAGTCGCGCATCTTGCTCTGATTCCTATCGACGGAACGAGCGTGAATCCTGCTCGCAGTTTGGGTGCCTTGATTGCTGCTTCGGGAAAAGCCCACAGCAAAGCGTGGAGTGAGATCTGGATCTATATTGTTGGGCCAGTAATAGGCGGGGCGCTTCCGGCCCTTGTCAAAACATACATCGTCCCGAGAACCTATCCACCTGCCGAAGACACGGACGTTCCTGCCCCTCTCGCAATATCTCCGGCACCCTTCAAGATCCCAAGGATCGACGTGCCCTAGTAGTCCAGCAAAAATTCATCAGCAAAGATCCTGTTGGCTTCTTGGATCAGCTTTTTGTCACCCGTGAAAGCGTATGCCTTTTGAAGATGCTTCACTCGTAACTCTTCTTGCTCGCCCACTGGCTCCACTACTCCTGCAAACCAGTGGTGCAAGTGGATGCGCCTCTTGAGTTCGTTCATCCCAGCATCCGTTCGAGTGTACTCTTTTGCGTACTCCCAGAGCGAACCATCATCCAGAGCGATGCCCGGCACGGCCAATTGCTGGCGCAAGTGCCGAGCCTTGGCCCAGCGAATTGCAAACTTCTCGTCCTTCATAAGCAAACGGGCCGGCCTCCGAAGGAGGCGCTCAACATAAGGGCGTCGGCCATAACGGAGCATGCCTGCCGCTAGGACGTCTTCGAAGCGGTAGCACCTCTCACCAAATATTCTGTTGTATACTTCGAGGCGTTCGAGGTCTGGGGTGGTCAAGCAGTACATGTAGCGGGCAATGTGCCTGGTCATTAATGCTTCCTGGCGCGTCCACTCGGACACGTCCTCTTGGAAGGCAAAGCTCAGATCGTATCCATCGCCTTTGAGCCTATGCGAGGCACGCACGATGCAAATTTGATTTAACGGGGGGAATTTGCGCTGGAGGTGCTCGGCCGGGATCTCATGAGTTTGCGGCCTAGTTATCAGAGGTACTCGACACTTCTTGGCATACTCTGTCATCAAAGACGGCCACAGCTCATCCAATGCTTTGCTGAATCCAGTTGACGTGCAAGCAAGCGCGGTCACAGCAGGCACTCCAATGTCCGAGTGATTGAGCAACAGCTCCACCAAGAGGGGAGGCGCCACATTTGCAATCGCGCACTTGCCAGATACATCCTTGGTTTCCTCCATGTCGTAAGATTGCTATAGGCGGGCTGCATGTGTCGCCCTAAGTGTCAACAAATGTCACGAGATATTATCTTGGACGTAGCATATGGCATCAACAGCAGAAAAGGTAAGTGGTAAGCCGCTAAACAAGAACAACGGGTCCAATGTGTCTCTACAACCCATTCAGACCTCTGGCGAATCAAATGTCCTGGCCCCTAACCCAACAACGGTTCCCAACACCCCTGTGCTGCGATCAGACAGTTGGCTACGCTGGATGACAAGCTGGTACTAGATCACCCGCTCTCTCGAGCGAATCGAACACTTCAAGGAGCGCCCTCCTCTTATCCCCCCGGCACGACCTGCACAGGCTCTTGAGGCCGTTGATGGTGGTGAAGACATCTCCTTTGTCCTTGTCCTCCCTGTACTCGGCCTCGCTGCAATTGGCCCGCACCCTCTTGGCAAAAGAAGTCCGAAACAGGGAGGCGTTCTGACCACCAATGACCATCAGCGCATCTCTCCAACCGACGGGAAACGGGTCTGCCCTATCGAGCAGGCTTCTGATGACTCCCTGGGGGCTGAGTTCCAGCTGCGTTGGGAACGGTGTCACAGCCTTGGCCTTCGTGGGGGCTGGGGGGTACAGCCCGAAGCTACTGAGTTCCAGCATCTTTGCGTTGAAGAAGATTGCCTGCAAGAGCAGAGCTCCGGGCCCGGAGTAGCTACACACAAGCGCCATCATGTCGTCGCACCTCACGTTGAGAAAGTGATGCTCGTCCCCTACCAGCTCCTCCCACAGGAGGCGGCCCGAGACCCGAACGTGCTGCGCAAAGGCTTCGCGCGTGTCCGGCCTGATGAGCTCTGTCAGCAACCACGGCACTGCTGACGCCTGTGGTCTCACTGGGATGCTGCAGTACGCCATCACAGCTCCGTCCAGTGCCCTCGCGTTCTTTGTCCAATTGCTCATGGCCTCATAGTGGGAGATGTCACCCGCCCCAATCGTCAAGGAACGCAGCCAGTTCAACCTGTCCATCTTGTAAAAGGCGGCGAGCTCAAGGTCCACCAGGTGCTTGGCGTGGGCTTCCAGCAGTTGCTTGCTGATTGCAAAGGCTGCCTCCTCCGACACCCCCGCGTGTTGAGCCCACCGCAGGAAGAGCTGCGGAGCGCACAGGACAATCTTGCCGTTCCTTGCTGGTTCAAACAGCGGGTGACCCTCAGCAGTCGCCTCCTCTGGAACGAACCTCCTGAACGCCTTCCAGCTGAGGTGCTTCGACCCGTCCGCCCCGCTGCAACCAGAGTTGATGTCAAAGTAGCCGGTTTGCCATTCAGCCCATACCGCATGTCCGGAGGGGGCGCAAAAGGGAAGCCTTTCGAGAGCAAAGGTCCGAGCCATCCTTCTCAAGAGAGTACCAGCAATCCAATGCACAGCTGCCCTCAATCAGAAACCTTCACGGCTGGCAAGCAGAGGCGCAATGAGGCGAGGACTGGCGCCAGACAGAGCTGCAAGGCCACGACCCGCCAGCTCCAGCTGGTTCGAAGGGGTACTTGCTGGTTGGGGGCTGTCATTTCCACGCCCTTTGGAAAGAGACATGGGCAGGTGCAGGTGCGGGTCTGCTAGGATGGCCCGCTTCGCCAGAGAGGGAGAGAGACCCGTGTGCTGCAGCGCGTGCAAGGCGCCAGACATGCGTGATGTTGTGTCGTTGCGGTGCAGGTGCGGGCGGTCCACCTGCCCACTGTACGCTCCACCCCACGAGAAGAAGGGGGTCTGCTGCAGCATCTGCAAGACAGAGGGTATGGTGAACGTTGTCAGCAAGCGGTGTGAGTGTGGTGCCTCGAGCTACCCTATCTTCAACCTGCCAGGCCGCAAACGGGGGGTGCGCTGCAAGCGCTGCAAACGGGAGGACGACGTTGCAGTGCTGACAGGAAAGAGCAGATGACAGGAGCTTAGGGCGAAAGAAACCGGGCACCAAGGGCAGAGCTTGCGGGCTCCTTTTCATTTTCCACCAGGGTCTTGCATACATACATATCGCCAAAGGTCCGGGGGAACCAAGACTCTCATACTAGAATCTGTTATATTTTTTTTCTTCTCCAGGGAAGGAATTATAACAGATTAGGAGTACAGAGTTTTCCCTTTGGTTTCCAATT